AATTTATTCTACAAGCAATTGCAATTCTAGCGGCCGTTCTAGATTACAAAAGATGTCAATTAAATCATTCAAACACAAATTAAATACATTCATGCAATTAATCCATCATGAATTTAGCCATACATCGTGATTAACCTCTTCATCAATCCCAAATCCCTAATTAAAACTACTCACAACTCATAATTGAAGAATCAATAGAATTGGGAAGAATATAATTAATTGTCATTAATTAAAAAGTAGGAACTTACAAATAATCCAAGGGAATTGAAGAACAAGATGAAAAATAGAAGAAATTTCGTCCCTAAGCCTCTCTATAAACTCCTCCCCCTCATTTAGGGTTAGGGGGTGATATTTAAAGGAAACAAAGCAATTCAGGTTGGATTAGGACTAAAATGGGGTACGCACGGCGCCCACACACGCGTGTGTGGCGTCCGTGCGTCCGACAGACTTGCGCGAAAAAACGTTGGACGCACGCGTGCGTCCCCCATGCACGCGTGCGTGGCTTCCAGTTTTCCGGATTCTCTAGTCCGAATTTGACAAAACTTCCTTCATGAAAGTTGTATCTAATGAAGTCCTATATCTGAATTGGATTTGGATCATCCCATCAAAGGATATGAATAAAATGGTGGAAGGTCGCATTCTGAAATCGCAACAGAGATTATCTGACTTCATCGTCTGTTTTCACCTTCTTCCTCTCCGATTCTCCCAACGGTGTATTCATATGATTTGTATCCCTTGAAGTTGGATTTCAGTTGAGACTTGAATCGTTTCCTTTGGATTCTTTTACAAATAGATATGCTTGAACGATTGACAGAAGGTCATCCTGATCGCCATTTTAAAGTTCTATTCGTTTTCTTTTGATCTCATAGCCAATTCTAGAGCTCTTTTATCTTCAAATCTTCATTGTGAACCTCCCGATGACCTCCAAAGCTCTCAATTCACTCTCTAATGCTTCTCTAATCATTCCGTTTGCTTCTCAACCGCCGGTGTTGGGCTCAAATTCCCTGATTTTGACTCCAAAAGACATAAAACTCGAACCAACGGCTGGTAACATAACTTGAGCTAAAATTGAGACTTGTAACACCTTAAAGCTAAGAAAACCATCACAAGTCGATCTGAACACGCATCAAATGTGTGTCTAAATATGGACTTATCAATAGCATATGTCTGGCCGCCCTCCAGCCGGCATTCCTCCTCCTTTGCCCAGTTGTTCTCGAACTTGAATTTCTTTTTTCGGCTTCTTTGATTAGAATTTTTAATTTTCACATAGAGAGCCATGTGATCGCTAGCTGGGGCTTCCACCGAGACTGTGCGAGCCTCCATGAAAGTGTCCCACCACGCGTCATTCACCAGAATACGGTCAAGTTTCTCCTCCACCCAGTGCGCCGTACCCCTTCCTCTGTCCCACGTCCACTGATATCCTGAGAAGGGAAAGTCCCGCAGCCCACAACTATGTACTACCTCCCGGAAGCCTCGTATCCGCCACAGGGGATGAGGTATATGTCCTTTCTTCTCTGAATCAAACAGAATGTCATTAAAATCTCCTATCATCATCCATGGCCCACTGCTACTCATCGCCAAATCTTCCATCATCGCCCAAGCCTCTCTTCTCCTTCTTGTTTCGGGGAAGCCATAATAGCCTGTCAACCGTCATGAACAAACAGTCTCCTTCGAATTAACTCTGCAGTCAATGAAGTTCGATTCACTTTTCACAATCTCGACTTCTACATCATCGCTCCATCTCAGAACCAAACCTCCTCTCGAGCCTTCACTGTCCACTCCGTATGCCTCATGGAAGCCCTGACTTCGCAGCAATGCCTTTGCCCTCAGACATCTCACCTTCGTTTCCATCAGAAAAACAATCGAAGGCCTGTTCGCGTGTACAATATCTGCTAAGCACTGGACTGTGGCTGGATTATCAAATCCCCTGCAATTCCAACTAAGAACAGTCATTCTTGGTTGACAGAGACGGTTCACCCCTCGATTTAGCAGCAGAAACAAACCTCCAGCCGAGCAGCGCCGCCGGAACAACAAACCTAGGAGAACCCTAGAGACGACCGCGATTTTAACACCCCATTGAGGAGTAAGAGATTACCAGTGAGTAAAGAGCCTTTGCAGTCTCTGGCGATGCGATCGACTGAAACGGCAAGAGGCCATGTGACGTACGACGATGCGTGCCCTAGGCCCTCCTCATCGGATAGAGTATATCTTCTTCGACGATCTGGCGAACGAGGTTCCTCCGACGGTAAGCAGCAGGCCTAGTGTCGTGGCGTCAGTTTCCCCACACTTCCGGCGATGTGGATCCTGCGGCGAGGATGCGGCGAACGCTTAATTCATGTACTTAAATAGTGAATATGTTTTGTTTTTTATTTTAAGACCATAAAAATGTTTTTAGGAAAATTCATTTTCTTTGCCAAAAATCATATTTTTTGTGATCTAACCGTGTTATGAAAAATGTAACTCGCGTTGATGGAAAATCTAATTTAGGTGTATGCAAAATGTAACTTTTTGAGGCGAGTCCAAATATAACTCGTACATTGCAAGATGTAAGTCACGCATAACAAGATGTAACTTACACACATGAAGATGTAACTTCATATACTATGAAATGTAACTCTAGAAATTGTCTATAAACATAATTCACTAATGTAGAAATCTAAACCACAAATATGAAGATGTAATCTTATATTTTATCAAATGTAAATCGCGATATATAAATTTAATTTCTTAAAAACACTAAAAACATATAAAAGAAATAAGAAATATATTATCGGAAAAAATGTATGAATATGAAAAAATATATCACAAAAAAGTGTATAATACAAAAATATTTATTTTGAAGAAAAAATATTTAATTTTTGGTTTTAATTTCAGTTGAAGAAAAAAAATAAAAAAGTGAATGGACAAGGACTAAGATAGAAAGAAAAAGTAATTAATTTATTTTGAAAGGATGAAAATTGATCACAAAATTGTAACACATACATTCCAATGTTCCTGAATTAAAAAAATCATCTGGAAATATGATAGCTTTTAATAATGAAAAAACTAAAAGTAAAAAAAGAAAAAGAAAAACAAAGAAACAAGTGGAGGATGTGGAGGATGCTAGTTTGTGGACTAAAGAGAAAGATAACATGATAGCTTTTGATAAACAAAAAAACGAGGGTCGAAGAAGTGTGGATGGACAACTAGAGAAAGAGTGTGACTTATCGTGTGTTCCATTTGTTATAAAACGATACCGTATTTGGGATTGGTATACCATGAGCATGGTATACCGATCCCACGGTATAATTTGCCGAGAAGGAGAGAAAGCCCTTCTTTTTGTTTGAGAGTTGCAAATTTGAAAAGAGAAGGGCTAAAGAGAAATTATAATTAAAATCACTTTAAAAATATAACAAATTTATATAGTTGAATTTATATTCATTTAATTAAGATAAAGTTATCATTTAATTATTTATTTTTCAAAATCTCTCAATTTGGGGGCTTAAAAATTTTAGCATCTCAAAGGTTTTAAAAGATCACAATAACCCTCCAAATAATTCCTTCTAATTTTCTAAACTCTCGATACTAAAGTTGATATCTTCCAAACCCTTACTCTCCCTCCAACACACAACTCCCGAACATACACTTAACCATTTTTTTTGCTCGAGTATTGCGTGGGGATGCCCTCTCATGATGTACATAACTTTGTTTTTGCTCCTCTATATTTTTCTTTTATAAAAAATATGAAAAATTGACAAAAATAATTCTACCTTTTACGCACGAGTCTTTTCAAAATAATCACATCTTTGAGTAATCCCAAAATAATCCCAAATTTGTACCCCATCTTCTTTCGTTAGACCCTGACCAGTTGATGACCTGCTACACCAGGGTTTTTTTTACCTTTTTTTTTGAAAATCTTACATAAATAATTCAACATTTTACAAATCTGCTCAAAACGGTCCTATGTTTCGTCCTTTTTTCACCTAAATGTTTTACTTCTTTATGTTAATCCCTAGACTTTTTTTTTCATTTTTCTATCATATTGTTCTTATTTCTTTTCCATTATTGTATGTCTATTTCTTACTCTATTATGGGAGTAATTTTTGTCAAATTTCCTTTCCAAATAGACCTTTTTGTCATTTTCTTTGTCTTTTCGTATTTTTATTTCATTTCCTTTTTTATGTTTCTCATATTAATCATTCTCTTCTTATTAAAGATCTTTTTCCCACTCTACCTTTTGTTATATTTTCTTTTTATTTCCACTTTCCCACTTTTTCATTCTCGTTACTTTTTTATGTTTTTTTGTTCTTTCTTCTTGTTATCTTAATTCCACCCATCAGAAAAATATAAAAAAAGTAATAAGAAGAAAAAAGTGGGAAAGTGAAAATAAAAAGAAAATATAAAAAAGTAGAGTGGGACAAAAATCTTTAATACGAATCAAATAATTAAGACGAGAAACATAAAAAGGAAATTAAATAAAAATATGGGAAGACAAAGAAAATGACAAAATGATCTATTTGGGAAGGAAAATTTACAAAAAAAATAACTCTACCCCTCTCCTAATAGAGCAAGAAATAGAATGATAAAAATGAAAAAGAATTAAGAATTATAGGATAGAAGAAGGAATGAAAAAGTGTCTAGCGATGAAAATAAAGAAAGAAAAATTTTAGGAGCAAAAAAGAAAAAATGAAACATGAGATTATTTTGAGATTACGTAAATGTAAAATTTTTATGAGAACACCGGTGAAATGCGAGATTTTACTTCTCAATTTTTCCTAAAAACAATGAGTAATATCAAGAAGATATTAATATGGATTTAATAATACCATTTAACAACCTTGATGCTATATTAATATTGATTTAATAATACCATTTAACAACCTTAATGCTATAGGCGACCACATTTAATAGGGTGACACAAAAGTTGTTGAAAAATGTTTAAGGTACACAAGGTGTACACAAAGTGTACACCATATAAAAGCCTAAAAAACGCATTTCCCCCCTTCCATCTTCTCTCTTCTGCCTCTTTCCTTTCTCTCTTTCCTCTCTACCTTTCCAAAATTCTAAAAAAAAATATGCATGGGATGAACATCTTCCTCTTCTTTCTTCATCCTCTTTTTCTCCACCTCTTTATGTCAAAATTTTCCATCAGTTGCACAAAATCAATTTATTTAGCTTATTTCATCTATTTTATTATTTTTCTAATTGCATGTAAATTGATAACGCATACAACTACATCATTCATTTGATTGTATATAAATAATTAGTTTTTTGTTCATCCAGATAATTAAAATCGATAACAACGACAATTAAAGTTGATCACACAGATAACTATTGTGTGTAAGAAGAAAATATTGTTTGTGCACATACACAAACACTGCACATATATAAATTGATTTGCAAGCTTATTTCAGTGTTAAACGGATGTGAGTGTATCTTTTTACATGAAAATTAATGTTTGTGGACAACTTATGAACCACTAGCAATTACTTCCTCTGTCACTTATAATTTTGTCAACTCTCTTTTTTTGGATGTTCCACTGAATTTGCCAATTTCCCTTTTAAGTAAAGAATTTTTTGTTCCAGTTCATTCTCTTCTCTGCACAAACTTCAACCACACAATTTTTAATTTATTATTTTGTGAAATTTTTCCTGACCCATTTCCTTGACAAAGTTATCAGGAGTCTACTAGGCTACTAGAATCAAAGTTGTTACACCTCGCCGAAATTATTATCCACCTTCCTGCAGTTTTTCCTTTTGACCCATTTTCTCATCGCCCATCGATAGCCCCCCTGTTCCTCGTCAATGGCGACCTCATCGAGACTCCCTTCCTTGGCCTTAGCGCTCGCTCTCCTCGCGATCACCGCCACCGCCCGCCCGTGCAAGACCCTCTACTTTTTCTCCTCCACCTCTTTCTACCCGACCACCACCACCACCGTCTCCGAAACCTCTAACCTTTACCCTCAATTCCGTCCCCAAAACCCTAGATCGCTCACCTTCCTTTTCACCTCAGCCCGTATCCCAGTTGAAGACTGGAAATTTGTTCCCTCAAGGACCTCCTTCGTCTTCCGCGACCCCTTCAGCGGCGTTGAGGAACAGGTCGAGGAAACGGGGGCCGAAGATGTTCCCAAGCGGTTGTCTTCATCCGCTTCGATTATCCCCTCTGATTTGTATTCCTCTGTGAGCAGCTCGATTCGTGACAGGACTAAGGATATCATGAGCGTTGTCGGTGCGTTGCTATTCGGTGTAGGCTGCGGAGCGTTGACCGCCGCGACCATGTACCTGATCTGGTCCCTCTTCTGGCCCCACGGTTACGATTTTGAGGATTCCGATGATGAGTTCGACGATGACGATGTTGCAGCCCAGAAGAAGATGGGATACATTGCAATTCCGGCTAAGGTTGTTGATGATGACCTGAAAAAGCCTGCTCCGCCCACAAAGGAGGTGGTTTGAGAGCGAGTCTGTAATTTGTAAGTTTATGGTGATCTTGACGACCTTTATAATCATATTTATGTTGATCTATATTTGCATATGAATGGCATATATGACTACTTTTCTTATTGTATCATCTTCTTCATGGTTAAAATCAAATCGTACTTTGATGTTCGTTCAAGATTGTTTGGGTAATCTAAGCTATACATTAATACATGCTTAGGTAAGACATATTATCTTCTTATTTGTCTATTTTCTTATTGAAAGCTAAACATATATGTATGCAAGTATGTCAGTTGGAGTGTAATCTCTCCTGCGAACCCCGTCCTATGATTTTTTTTGTAATTGGGAAGAAGCTATCCTGAGGACCTTACTTATGACTTGGTGGTATCTTTATTTGTTTGAATTGATATATTTGATTGGTCCTCACTCCTCAGTCAGGTGTTGAGTCGAAGATCTTAGGTTCGAGGTTGTTGAGTTCAAGGTTTTAGGTTCTGAGTCCAGGTAGTGGCGGTGTGACAGTGTGAGAGAGTGTCATCAAATATGTCAGCTCCTTGTTTTGCATCAGGTTCTAGGCAGCATTTCTCGAAAGTTTTTATGAGATTAAACAATGATTTATCAGGCTGTGGGTGAGTGGGGATTCCATCTTTTGATTCCATTCTTTTTGTCAGATTAATGAGTTGTTAGCTTCTATTAAAAGTGACAACAAAAAGGCTTTACAAATTCATATAAAGTTGAATGCATGTTTCTGTTTGTGATGTGGATATATAGTAGTAGTATCATTGGTTCTGAGTTTCATTATTTGAGGTTATAGTTGGTAAATCTCAGACCCGCTTAGGAAACTGATAGAAAAGGTTATTGACGTCTTTAACCAATGGAAATGGATTCATCCCTATACATGTATAATATGAAATTGACCTATCGAAGCCAATACTTTTCTCACATGGTTTGTTCGACTATATGACCCAAGCGGTATCACAGTTGGTTTATGAAGTTTTTTCCCATGAAACATCACATATGATGTTTTCCTTGAGAAAGACGTGCACTCTGAGGACAGCTTTAACAAGCACAGATTGGTTGGAGTGCAAGTGGGATTTGTGTATGCCCCCCCCCCCCCCCCCCCCCCCCCAACCTCATAAAAAAAAGGATGACACCTCATCCCTGAGGGGCCCCCAACCCCGACCGGACGGTATTTGTAAAAATGATGTAAATTGGACTATAATCTCAATCTGACAGATAGAGAGTGAGGCTCTGTCCCCGGTATTTGTAGAGACCCTATGCATTTTGGACAGATAGAGAGATAGAGAGCGTGGCTTCATCAAAATAATGTACTATAGCTTATTCGTTTGTCTCTATGTGTATAAAAGAAAGAAAGTCACGAAATTTCATGTTTTGATTTGTGTTATCATCACTATTTTTGTGGACAAAAATAGGATTGGTTTCAAGATTTTCCAAAAGTGACTAACATGACGATTATACCCATCCAGTGTCACTAACTAACTTCCAGGTGGACATCCTAGTGACACCTGACACACTAGTTACTACCGACACCTTAATGAGTAATTACCACCGCTGCACCGGCAGTGACAACGCTACTTTACCAGTGAGTTATGTTCTCTCCAACAAGGGAGTTGATGGAGCGCTAATTTTTTTTGTTGGCGAAAAAAACAATTAACTAGCATTTATTGAGCACTAAGTTATAAGCTATACACATGTTATTTTTGTCTCAATAAATGCTTCAAGTTAATTCCCTAAATAGGACAAAAACATGAAAAAAATGCACAAATAAAATTCCCATGTTTTATAGGACTCTCTTTACTATATTACCCTTAATAAATTTTTAAATCTATTTACAATTAAAATTAGAAAAATAAAAAACTTTCTAAAACCCTAGGTTCTAGTGCCACCTTCAGCACTCAAGAAATTGCCCATCATGCCCATCATTGGCTCATTGCCAATGCCACAACTCCCAGTGCCATCATGCCCATCATTGCCACTATCGTCCATTTTCATTGAAAATGCCATCTTGCTGCAACTAAATGAATCTGCCATCCTTTATAAAAAAATGAACATTATATTGACAGTTTGATTCATTATATTTGACAGTTCCTATTAAAGAAAACAATATTTTTCTATTGTAATTTCATATGCAAGTTTGCCATATAGTTGGCAATACTCTCAAATCGATGCGAAAATACAAGTTTTCTGCCATAAAATATTACACGAAACTGCTAGAATTTTGGCAAAATATGAACTCAGTATCCGAAATCGGAAAAAACAGAGTTTTTAATGAAATGAAAAATTTATTGAAAGAAAAGAAAAAAAATTACTGAAATCAAAATTTTGTACTATGAAATCAATCGCCAAAAATCAGAAAAGTTTATGCCAAAACTCAGGAAATGAAGGAGGGGAGGATGAAGAAGAAGAACAAAGGGAGGAAGAGGAGGAGGTGGTGATGGTAGAGTCTGAAAACTAGCGACACAAAGAGGTGGTGCAGAGAGGCGGCGGCGGTGATGGAGAACTAGTGGCGGCGCTAAAGAATAGGGGTTGCGATGAACATGAGAGAGAGAGACGGTGAGGCGCAAAGAAACAAACGATCAATAGAATTTAGGGTTTTAAATATTACTCCCTCAGTCCCAAATTGTAAGATATATCAAAACTTTATGAAATTTGAATTACTTTTTGCAGGTTTTGTAGCGATTTTAATGTAGTTTCTGAATATGTAAATTTTATTTTCTAAATCTAATTTGAGTGTTGACAGGGATCAATTTGCTTTATCGTCGGTCAAACATCATAAATCGTAAAGTATCTTACAAATTGGGACGGAGGGAGTATTATATAGGAAATGTATAATGGAAATTTGAAGTCCTATTTGGGGAATAAAAAATGTGATTCTATTTGTGCATTTAATTTACTTTTAGTCAATTACTATAAAGCAATTACAATTTTATTTTAACTCTCTCAATTAGACCATTTGGAGTGGTGTAGTATTACGAGTATAAAATGTTAAAGATGAAATTTTTGAGCTCCTAATTTCATATAGTGGTAAGCTAAACTAGATAGTAAAAATGGGAAATGAAATGGAAGAGAGTAAATATGGAGGATGGATGGATGAAGACGTTTAGTAACAAAAAACCCTCGTGCTCCGGCGACTTCAGATCTGAATGGTTACAACGGCGGCGTGGGCTACTCTGGGCGGTGGCCGGTGGGCCGGGAGCGGTTGTACGTTTCTTTGCTGAGGTGTTGGCAGCCAACAAAGAGATTCCCCTCAAATCTCCGTTCAAGCATAGGGGTATGCCTGCGAGGTTGCGATTCAGTTTACTCATGACGAAGTGTCTTTGCTTGCGGATCCACACAAATACGTTTTGGTGGGCTCTTTTGTTCGAGGAAGGCCATCGATGACAGTCATTAGGCAGGAGTTCGAGAAGATCAGTTTTAATGGTTCACTTACGCTTGGTCTCCTTGATCAGCGTCACATCTTGCTTAATCTTGTCTCGGAGGCTGATTTTCAACGTTGTTGGCTGAGACAATATTGGGTTATAAGGGGCTTTCGTATGAAGATCACTAGATGGACACCAGATTTAAGGGCGGACGTGGAGTCTCCTATAGTTCCGGTTTGGATCATGTTTGATGGATTGCCTTTACACCTACAGGACAAGCGGGCTTTATTCTCCATTGCGGGTATGGTAGGCAAGCCATTAAAAGTTGATGCGGCTACGACAAATCTCTCTTTTCCTTCTACTGCTAAAGTTTGTGTTGAGTTAGATTTGCTTCAGGAAATTCTCTCAAAGGTTATCATTATGCACGGTAGTAAGGAGATCATTCAGCCGGTTGCCTATGAGGATCTCCCAAAATATTGTGTGAAATGTAGCAAAATTGGGCATTCAAAGGATGAATGTGGTATCCCTAAGGTTCGGACTGTGCAAGGGGCTCTCATTCCTAAGGTTCGTGCCAAACAGATTGTTCGGAATTCGGATACTAAAGTGGTAAATGACAACCAAGAGCAGTGGGTTTAGGTGAACCGGAAAAAGAAAGGGAAGGAAAAGGTGATTTTTCAAGAGGAGCAGGCGGAAGCGTCTAACAAAAATGAGAAGTTGGGAGGTTTAGAAACTACTCTTATTGTAGTGGAGGAGGGGAGACACGTGGATGTACAAAAAAAGGGGATGATAGGGCAACAGTTCTGACGGAGGATGCGGTTATTGATCATATAGTTGAGGACGGTCAGATTGTAGTACAACAAGGGGAAGCGGTGGAAAAAGATGTTCAATTTGAGGAGGGGTTTATTAACCAACCTGTGGCAAAGAACTCGGTGATTGAGGGGATGTTTACTCAGAAGGAATCCGTAGTAGGGGGAGATAATCTAGTTGCCACGGATGTCACTAAGTTTATTTCATTTGAAGAAGGCTCTACCAGAGAGGTGGAGGAAGGAGATGTTGTTGAGGTGGAAGGTTTTGTTTTAGATGGTGATCAATCCACCTTGGAGGAGGTGACTATTGAAGCCTGGAAATCAGTGTGTAAGGAATTACAAAACAAGGTGGTGGCTATTGAAAATGAGTAGGTGACAGCTTTAGGCTTGGTGCCGAAAAAAAAGACCAAAGTTATTCCTCCGCGGGCAATCAACACTAGACTGATTACGAAGAGGCTCAACTCAGACCCCTCTGTTGCGGTTTCCCTATGAAGATTCTTTCTTGGAATCTATGTGGCCTTGTTAAATTGTGCCCAAGGTTACGTGACATGATTAGGCACCATTCTACTGATTTTGTTTCCGTTATTGAACCACTAGTGAATCAAAGTAGGGATGATTTCTTTAAACATAGTTTGGGTTTTTCGGAGGTGTATATGTCTGCTTCTAATAAAATTTGGGTGATGTGGAATACTAGTTCGTTTGAGGTTTTAAACATTATTGGCAAAGAGCAATTTTTATTGACATCTGTCAAGTTTCTTCCGTTGGATTATGTTTTCATTTTCTCTCCGGTTTATGCTCTTCACACAAGGACTGATAGGGCCAGGTTATGGGAGGAAATGTTTCTTTTTAGTAGGCAAGGTCAGGCAGATTGGGTCATGGGAGGTGATTTCAATGTAGTTGCCTCGTTGGCAGATTATAAAGGCCCTTCTTCCCCTCCTATGAACGATGTGATGGATTTTCAAGATTGTATTGATAGGTGCAAGCTCGCTCATGTACCCACTATTGGTTCGGCGTATACCTGGTCGGGGGTCAAGTCTAATGGTCGCA